TACCAATACCCTTAAAATCTTTCATATCCTCTTGATCAATTTATTCTACTTCTGGATATCAAACCTAAGGCAACAACCCACAACCTCACAAACACACACACACACACACAGTCATGCACAAAAACTTTCACTAGAATGTTATGACATTAAAAAGTGAGAAACAAACTGAATGGCCAACAATGGAAAAATGGTTAGGTAAACTTAATGACTGATTATTCAGGTAACAAAAGTATGCTACCATAAACAAATGATGTTATTTAAGATTTTTATCTTTAATTCAAAGCATCAAAAGGTATTTTATTTTTAAAGGTGCACTAGTGGTTAAAACTAGGAAGAAAAGCAAAGAAATAATTATCATAAAAAGTCAGGACAATGATAGCCTCAGAGGAATAAGAGGGTACAGACAGTTTTTTTTTCAATTTTGTCATCAAATTTCTTTGAAAATTGTGATAAAATATACATAATATAAAATTTACCATTTTGATAATTTTAAGTATAAGTTCAGCAGTGTCAAACATTTTCACACTGTTCACCAATCCCCAGAACTCTTTTCATCGTGTAAAACTAAAATCCATTAAACAGTAACTCCTCATTCTCTCCTCCCAAAAGCCATGGCAACCACCATTCTACCTTCTGCCTCCAAGGGTTTGACGACTCCAGGTTCCTCATATAAATGGAATCATAGTATTTGTCCTTTTTGTGACTGGCTTGTTTCACTTGGCATAATGTCATGAAGGTTGATCCATGTTGTGGCATGTGTTAGTTTCCTTCCTTTTTAAGGCTGAATCATATTCTATTGTCCATATATACCACATTGGCTTACCCATTCATCCGTCAACGGAAACTTGGGTTACTTCTACCTTTTGGCTATTGTGAATAATGCAGATATGAACATGAATGTACAAATACCTCTTTGAGACTCTGTTTTCAATCCATTTGGGTATATACCCAGAAGTGGAATGGCTGGATCATATAGTAATTCTATTTTTAATTTTTGAGCAGTTATACCATACAGAATTTCTAATAATAGCAAATGCTTTCATGATACCATTAAGTGAAAAAAGTAGGTTCTAAATACATACAGTATAACCTTAACTACACTTAGAAGAAAGCATAGGAAAACTGTCAAAGAGTAATAGTGGTTTCTAGTGGATGTTGGTAAAAGTAGACTTATATTCTCTTCTTTCCAAAGTTTATACTTGAATAATTTTCTATGATAACCATATGCTACACTGACAAGCAAGAAAAAAAGTTAAAAAAATTAAGTAGGACACATTTTTCTCCTGATCATCACATTATCCACTGCACTTAGTCTGATAGTCCATTTGGTTCACCACATTTACTAAAGGGAACACACACACACATACACACACACACACCACAGAGTTCCTTGTACAGCCAAAGCAGATACTAGATAACCAAAGTGAGTGATGAAAAATTTCAAGCCCAATATAACAGTAATTCCAGCTCTCAATCAAGGGAATAAATCTTTCCTCCTCTTAGTCCTACTTGACAGGGCTTTTAAGAAGTCCTTCTGATTTAGGCAGGGCCTATGATCCAGGTGGGATGGCAGGGCTGGGGTCTGCAGGGAGCAAAGGTGGGAGACAGGGCCATGATCAGGGACTACACTGACTCCTCTTCCATGGCGGCCACTGCCAGCCTCTCCAGGCCAGCAGCTGACCCTGTTCTCCTGCAGCTTCCAGCATGGGTCAGTGTAGTGTTTCTCCCGTAGTTGGAAATTGCCTTCGCACCATGAGCAAGACGGCAAATTGGATTGAGGAGGGAGGGAATGGAGGAAGAATGGGAAGGAAGGGGCTTGCAGGATTAATGAGCTGATTTCCATATGGGCTTTGACATCTGGGAATGAAAAGTGGCCTGTAAGAGTAGAAGCCTAGTCCTCTACTCAGGCCACGTTGCCAGCTGGCCATTCATCACCAAAAATTCCCCAACCCCATGGCTATTGCTTAATCATTTCACATAAATCCCTATTAATCTTGCAAAGTCAAAATATAAATATATGAGAAAAATCTTTATTTTATGTGCCCTCAATTTCAGGGTCAAAAATTTAAAAATTCAACCAGTTATCCAATGGCTCCAATGAACTTTTCAAAAAGAAAAAAAAACCTTCTTTGGGAATAAAAGGACAAATAAATGACACCCTCACTAATGTTTTTGTACTTGTTGGACTAAATGAGTTCAGGGCAATGATCAAATAAACTGCAGAATGGAAAAAGGGTGCTAAGATTTAAACCTTTTTTTTTTCAATAACATTAATGTTTCATAGCTGATAAAGAAAATCCTTAGTAGGCACAAAGGAACATTTTATTCTTCTTTCATGTGTAAATTACTAGAGGCATAAAGGAGCCTCTTAAGCAGTGGAACTGGGAACACTCCACACTGTAAGGACTTACACGGCGAACGAATGAAAGGCAGTTAAGAATTCGAAGGTAGGGGTCAGCTTTGAGAAGGGCTCCCTAGGACCCAGAATGGGCTGTGTGGGCATGGGAGCTATTAGTACAGACACTCTCAGAGGGCTTCAGGGACAGGGCGGCATATGACGGCCTGAAGCTTCATCACTTACATGTGATTTTATACTTTACTTCAAGGTTATGGTGTCAATGCTGTGGATAATAGAGAAAAACTGATAAATGGCTTCAGAATGGATTCCATTCTGGCAGTGTGTAACTTTATTTCAGGCTCTGAACACAACTTGATTAATATGGTAAATGTGTGTTGGGCAGCAGGAGAAAGCCTGTTGTTAGGAGCCATCTACAGACCCACCCATGATGTATAAAGTTCACACTTGAATAATACAGAGTTGACTTTACTGGAAAAATACAAGTGGCTTTCCTGGACGCTCAGCAAGGAAAGTGGGAACCCAGCGAATTGCAGTGATTCATGCCTTTGTTTTCTAGGGTGGGTAAATCCTGGAGAAAAATCAGAGATGGGTTGGGGGCAGGGTGTGATGATGATGAAAAGCCTGATTAGAAAATTGCAATAGGGGCTGTAAGGAAGGTTAAAAAGGCCAGGAGGACTTCTCCAGTGGAAGAGGAGACTGACGGCAGGGCTGCCATCCATTGTCGGGCACTGCACAACCTGAAGGTCCATTTAGATGGCTGGCCTGTTACTCCATCTCCTATGCCTCCAACAAGAAATGAGTTCAGGAAGCCAGTGGATGATGAACTTCTATGAGGCCCAGGCAGGGGTAGGAAGCTATGGGTGCAAACTCCCTTACAGCACTTTAATAACAGGACAGTTAGGGTTCTGCCTTGGGGCAGTCCTGTTTGGAAGAAGGAGTTTCAGTAGCGTAGCTACTGGAGGGCCATGACTTCCTGATCTCCAGATATAACAGCTAGGAGGACCTGGCCTAGTAATTGGTAAACAGATAAGGGCACAAATGTGATCATAATTCCCTGTCACCCGAAAAAGGTATCTTGGAGAAGTTGTCTAAACACCACCCAGGAGGCAAATGATAGCAGGCTTGGAGAAGTCAATCAACTCCTACTTTCTAAATAAAAGAGAAAAAACAAAAAATTGGACTAAAAATGAGAGGTAACTATCACTTTATTGGCATTTCAGACACTGGAGAATTTCCCCATCAATATCCCTGTCCAAAGCTATGGGTGCTCAGACAAACACAAAGGCTCACATATCCACACACTGGGAAATCCTTCACCAGCTCCCTTTCACCTAACGGTTTCCTTTAGGAGCTGTGTAACCTCCATGTATTTCCTCAGCCTCATTCTCTGCCACATGTACCTTATACTTTCGGCTCCAGATGAGCTAAGTTCCTTATAGTTCTCCATACACAACATGCCACTTCACACCGTCATGTCTTTGCCTACGATATTACCTAAGTCTGGGGTGCCCCTCCCTGCCTGGCCACTTGGAAATTTCCAGTCTTGAAGGCTGAAGGCTAGTTCAGTGCTGACACCCTGCCCCTCCTCTGAGCTGCTCTTGCACCTGCTACACAGATTTGCTATTACACGTACCCTATTGGATAAAACTATTCACTTACATATCTTTGGCATTTCATGGGTGTGAGCTCCTTGAAGCCAGGACTAGTTCTTCTGTATCTTTGCAACACTGGATCTCCTATCACAGAGGCTAGTGCATAGCCTGTGCTCCAAAAGACTTTGTTGAATCTGTGGGCCCACACTGATCTGCAGGCCTCATTCTGTCCATTGCTTGCCTTGCATAGGAGGTGGGGAGCCCAAAAAAAGTGAACAGAAGTATATTTTTTGAAAAATACAAAAGAGGATGCTATTTTAGACCACCAATATATGGATTTTTAAGTGAATGCCAGACACTACAGCAAGGGGGCCCTTGCAGTAACACTGTCCTGCCAATATCAGAGTCCTGCAACATGGAATTTTGAACACAGTGCTACACACAGGACTCCCTGTGTTTTAAGTGAGAGAATCTTTTTACTCCATCTTTCACAGAGTAAATGTTTTAAGTTCTAGAATAAACTAACCGTGGAGAGGATAAAAAAATATAGGTACCCACACTCTTTCGCCTTGCTTATTCAAGCTACTCTACTACCTATCTAAAACAGGCAACTTCCACATCTTTTTCTTATTCACACTATATTGGTTCCTCTGTGCCAGCTTAAGTCTTAGACTAATCTCTCTAATCTCTGAGTTGCCATGGCACTTAAGAGTATGTACCACATGATTTAGTCAATTACTGCGTTTCACTGTCACAATATCTAACACAGGGCTGGATGCATAGCAGGTATTAATAAAAACAAACTGATGGGTGGACAGATAAAAAGCCATTATTACATGGCCCCCAGCCACATAGCTGTTTTAGAGAAATTATCAAGAAAATATTTTTCTTTTCTTTACCACAACCCAAAGTTCTAAAAAGATAAATACTCCAATAAGTTTAAAAAACTCATGCCAATGACTTTTAAAACTCCCACAACTAGGAACAGCAATTCTTCAATGTGTTCCTAACCCCTGATAACTCCTTGCTCCTGTGGGGTTTTAACATACCTCTTGGCCAGCCAGAGTTTGGCTTTGGTACAAACAGCAATGTCAGCCAGCTCCTGCTGCAAGTATGTATTCATTCTGTATTTGGAGTCTGAGAAGGCTTGTAATAAATGAAAAACCTAAACCAGAAAAGAGAAAAAGCAATATCCTGCTGTGAATATATATTTTTCCTAAATGCTCAGTTCCTCCCTTTTAGGTTTCCTCAAAATATTCCCCTCAAGGAAAACAGACACCTGCGGAATATGGCTCTAGTCTTTGCAGAAAAGCATGTTAGTTTTGGAGGGTGCAATAGGGGCGAGAAACCCACATTCCTTAATTGGTACCTGTGTTCTGGGTTCCCTGCACAATCTCCAAAAATGGGGATTGTGACTACTGTATGACCAATCATTTGATGCAAGAGCTTATGAGTTACAAACAACCTAGAAATTGATTTTGGCAAAGAAACGCCAACACCTTTCTCTAAGTTAGTTTCTTATATGAAAAAAAAGTACCTTTTAAAGTCAAAGTCTTACTTTGTAGGAAAAATCAGTTGTCTGAGTCTAAACTGGTTTACATATCCGGGTTTATCAGAACAGGCTTGGCTAAAGCAGCTGGCCATAATGACACCTGCCTTTGCAAATACTGGATAGTGACATCTGTAAACTGTCTAGATTTTTTTGGCAGATCTTCACTGAGATGTCAGGAGCAGAAGCAGTGAAGCAGACACGTCCTATTCTTGCTCTTATATGACATTACATATTGGAATTAAGCAGAGAAAGACAAATCCTGTTGTATCTCTAGCTGCCTCCATTTGGAATGAAGGCCGCAATTCTAGCAGACACATGGCATAGGCTGTATGCATGTCTATGTGTGCACACGCTCATAGATGTATGTCTTGGATTCATACTCTGTGATGACATCAACAAGGCCTCTGTAAGGAGTGTAAACCTGCTGTTGAGAAAGGAAGAGGACAAATGCAGAGATGAGATCCTCTTACCTTAGCTAGTGGCAAGGAGAAAGATGCCTGAGAAATCCTTCAGTCCCCCTTATAAAAATCAAAGGGAGGGGGTGGGCGGAGCAAAGAAAGTACAGATAACACACATCAAACTTTGGGAGACTATTTTTTTTCCTATTGTATCCTTCACCAGAGCTGCAGATTCTTTCTAAGCAACAAGATTCAACTTTTTCTTTTCTTTTTCTCTTGTCAATGAGGCACATAACTGAGAGCTAAATATGGAAGGGACAAATGAGAAAGAGCAGGAGACCAAGATAAAAGAGATCCAGAATCATGAGACTCTGAGCAAGTATGAGCCAGCAGGTTTTCTGGGTCAGGTATCTGCAATGACTAACAACAAATACATGCTGAGTACCTTTTGTTTAGCAAGTCAAAATACATTTTTGATTACTGTATATAACTGCTATTTTTTTTTTAACAGAAGTAATTGTACAGGAGAATGCACACAAGTCCCAATGTGGAGACTGAAAATGCTTTCTCTAATAATGGATCTGTTATTGCAGAAGCAACAGATCAAATATCACTACTTCACTACACCCCCTGCAGGGACCCAAACCACCCATCGTGAAGTCTGGAGAAATGGTTCTGGCTGGGGCTTCTGTTCTTACGTGGTGACTGCCAGAGTGAAAAACAAAAAACCTCCCTCTGCCTGAATCCCCACTACACTGAGAGAGCTGGCAAAGTCACTGGGTCTTGCTTTACTTTCCTCCCCAGCTGCACAAAACCAAAGCACCCGGCTTTTCGTGGCATCACAGGACCGTCATTCATCAGCAGACACCAGCAAAATACACCACCTTGGAATTTACTTGTAAAGAAAGCTGTGAGATTTTCAAATCCTTCTCATTTAGAAGCAATCACTTCAAAAATAACTCCTGATGGATGTTTAAACTTAGTCCTATATTTGCTCACCTTACTTGGCAAAAACAAGGCTGTTTTTGAAACGCTTGGTAGCTCTGGTTTATGAAAATCAGCCTACAGGCCCATCAGTTCTGTCACATTGGGCACAAACCAGACAACAATTGTGATCCTGGTTATTTACCAGGAACGAAGAGCAATCTATTTACCTGGGATGACTGGAGAGGGAGGTAACATTAAGAAGAAACCTGGTGGAAATAAGCATGTAGGAGTGACAGTGCAATATAAGTGAAAGACAGGGTCAGAGAAGTCAAGGGGAAAATGGGGCAGGGCAGGGGCGGGAGAAGAGAAGACAGGGAGGGGACAGGAAAGAAAAGTTTTGTAAACAAAAGTCTGTAACAGGTTACTGTGTTTTGAGATAATTTTTTTTTCAAGAAAATTAATGAAAATATTTGAACACGTGACTACCTTCACATGACATTTTACAGCATCAGGTTTAGTCTGCTCAGAAAAATGAGGGTATCTTTTGGTGTGAAGTACAGAAGACAGACCAGGCATCTGGAAGGGGCCAAGGTCACATCCAGGAGCTCTAGGCAGCTCCAAGGAAGGGTCATCTGTCTATCATCTCTGAAAGGACAGCAGGCGCAAAGCAACTCCCTCTCCTTCCCCTCTTCCTAAAGTTCTGGCCCAGAAGAACTTCTGGGCTAAGAGTGTGGTCAACCCCAAGCCGGCAACAATTTGGAAAAAGCCTCTAAATAGGACTTCACTGAACCAAACACAGAGAAACCAAAGCTGCCAGAACTGAGGATAACGACTAACTAAACGCACACAAGAACTCTCAGACATTTAGTGCCATTTTAGGTGTCCCAAACTCAAGACAGGATCCAAACATTCAGTCCACAAATATTTATTCAACAACTATTACCACTGGGCACAGCCCTAGGAGCTGCAGCAGAGAACAAATAAGAGACCCTGCTCTCCTAACGCTTACCCTCGAGTGATGGATAAACAATCAATCACTTCCGTAACTCTGGCTGGGACTTAGAACCTGTACAGTAGCATTGCCAGCACCTTCCTCCTACACTTGATCTCACCCTCCACCAAGCCAGGGCATAGCAGGGATTTGGCAAGCATTTGCTGAACTGATGTCCATATTTAGCGCCTCTTCCTATTAATTCTCTTTGGGACGCATGCCCGCCAACCCCATGTTAGGAGTGGAGACACAGAGTTGAGTAACACAGAACGCCCACCACACTCCGGTGTATTTCTAATCCAGGGGAGAAAACCGGGAGGCTAGAATAGTAAAAAGAATGTAGCCCTCTGGGATAGAGTGGGAGGAGCATGGACTTTGCAGCCAGTTACTGGGGGTTGGGGGATGGGGGTGAGTGGCTTTGGGCAACTTACCTAAGCTCTGTTTCCTCAATGTGAACAGCTTATAACAGTATCTGTCTTGTGGGATTGTAGAGGGATTATATAGTACACTGCATACATTAGGCACCTGATAAAGATGTTAATTTTCTTCCTTCTCTGTCTGCTGCCTCCCGTCAAGCCCCCATTCCAAAATAAACAGTCAGGGAAGGCTTTGCAGAAAGAGTGATATTCATACTTCGCTTTGAATAGAATCTTTTTTTTGAAAGAATCTTGCCAGAATCCAGGCAAGAATATGGAAGCAGAGGAAACTGAACCACAAAAAATTTGTAAAGGGCATTAAAATATTGGTATTGCCAACAAAGAGGGAATCTTAATGTAAACTATGGATTTTAATTAATAATAATGTATCAATACTGGTTCATTAATTGTAAAAAATGAACCACTCTAATGCAAGGTATCGATGATAGGAGAAAACTGGGAAGAGGGAGGCAGTAGAGGAATATATGGGAGCTCTCTGTACTACCTGCTCCATTTATTTGGAAATATACTACTGTTTTAAAAGAAACCTACTAATTACAAGAAAATATTGGGACTGCTCAGGGGACAGCCAAGTAGCTGCGTGTGACAGCACACAGCCAGGATGTATGTGGGTGGTAGCAGCCGCAGTTGGTGAGAGGGGTCAGGGCAGACGGAGAAGGATCTTAAATGCAACATCAATGAATGTGTACTCCGTTAAGGCAGCAAAGACCTCTGCAGAGAACTCTGATGTGATCAGACCTGTAATTTGGGAGAAAAAGGCAGCGGCAGTGTGGAGGCTGGATTAGAAGTGGCTGGATGACCAAGATGACTGCCAGTCGAGATGGGATGCTGAGGGTTGAAATCCAAAGCTGAAAAGCAAGAATAGCCTGTGGGCCAAAACTGGCTGCAGATGATTTCACATCAAGACCATTCAGATTTCCAACTTTTGAAAAGTTAGGAGATCTGGCAGTTGTGGGCCCGTACACCCACAGGGCAATAGTCACCAGGCCAGGACTGGCCCATTAGACCAGAAAAGCAGATTCTGGCTCACTGCCTTCCCTCTACCGTCTAGCACTCACAGGCACTAAGGTGGAGTGTCAATGTCATTTAGCACTGATCTCATGTTTTTCTTTTTCTTTTTTTTACCTTTTGGAGAATCAAAAGGAAAATGAAACATTTAATGAACCCAAATCTCTACCACAAGTTTGAAAGCAAAGGATGGACTCAGGGGGCTGCATGCTTTTACCCATTCCCCTTCGCTCACTCACTGCCTGGCACAGGCAGGACTCTGATTCTGTGACACCCTCACTCCGCCCCGATCTCAATGATGGCAGCAGTGGAATGGAGAGGGAAGAACACATTTGAGAGACATGATGGGGGCTGAAGAAGTGGGAATTGGCAACTGCTTTAGAAATGGACTTGAAGGTCAGGGAAGAGCTCAACTTAGGCAGCTCGTGACTCAGGGCCATCTTTCAAGAGACTATGTAGCAGGTTTGGGAATGAGGGAGGGGGGTTTGGTGAGCTTGGTTAGGAGTATCCATCTGAGGGCTACTCCAGTTGGGGTAATTTATCTTGCAAAGCAGGAATTCTATTGAGAGTGAAAAGGAGATCTATTACTGATCACATCAGGACAAACTGGGACAGCTGGTTACCTCTAGCTATAGGCGGCCCCTTGGGGAAAGATCAGAGTGGACTTATAGGTGTCATCAGCAAAAGAAACAGGAGAAAGCTTCATTGACTTAAGATAGTTGTGATCCAGTCAGAGATAGAAAGGAGGCACACACACAAAACCAAGTGCAAACCAACAGCACTGCCCTTGACCATCACAGGCCTGGACTGCTGAGACGTGAGGTGGTAGTGCCTGCCCTGAAGATGGGTGGT